GGGGAGGAAAAAAATAGATTGTTTTTAAATGTATCAGTGAAATATTCAAGGATCACTTATTTTTTAAGTGTCCTGGATGGCTTGCTTTTTTTGGAACTATGAAGAATTGCCTATCATTGCTGTGTCTCAATTTTTTTCAGTCACAAAGTAAAATCTTGCATATAGAACATTTAACACAGGAACTAACATGGAGAGTTGATGAAAATTTTAGTTGTCACTACTATCTATTATGTACTTCTGATATTTACTTTTTTTAAATTGTGGAATATTGAAAATTATGTGTGGTGGTTACTGTGAAGCCTCAAGGGAGTCAGTCTCAAGAATCAACTTAAACATGAGTTTTGAACCTTTGGCCTTCTCATCCATTCATATGTTAATTTATTTAGTTACTGAAGACATACTAATAGGTTTAATACAATTTGTCAAAACATGTGCTCCAGGTGCTAGTTTGGACCTGAAAATCAAACAGTCAAATGATATAGTATGTTCTTGCTTACAAGTCCACATTCTAGAGAGAAAAGTTAGAGTCAGGGAAGAGGGTCAATTGAATAAACTCAGATATTCCAATATCTGAATGGTAAATAGAGAAGACAAATTCTGAGAAAAGTATAGAGGAAGGAATGAAAGCAGGACTCCCAATTTTTATGAAAGTCAAGGCAAGAGTCAAGAAAAAACGGACCCCACAATTCTGGCTGTTCTAAGGAACTTAAATAAGTCAGAAAAAGTCTCTAAGTCTAACAGCAAGTTATCCATGAGTGGTCTTAAGGAGAATGGAATATAGTGAGTTTAAAAATGAATAGGTTGAACCAGATATAGTAGTTTATATCTTTAAAGCCAGCTTTAGGGATTCTATGGTTGGAAGGTTATATATTCCTGGTCTGCTTCACCTATGTAATAAGACACTGTCCCAACAAACCAAAACGACAAACAAAAAGAAATGAAGAAGTAAATGTTATCATATAAAACCAATTCCTATGGTAAACCTTCACAGCAAATTGGCTTAAACTAGAAAGACAAATGGAAACAGAAGCATCTAAGGGCAAAATGACTACAAAGATACATGAGAAATAGTAAGCAGACAATAGGAATAAATAACATAAAACAAGAATGAATGCTGATAAATTATTTTGAGACAAAAGAAACCCTTAAATGTGATAGAGACATGAGCTTGAAGAAGGAGAGGTCATTGCTCTTTTATTCTTGAAAATGAAGTGGTCTGTTCAGTGGTTTAGAGCAGCATTTGAGTCTTGACTAAGAGGAATGAGCTTGAAATAGTTATTTTTTTGCAAATGGAAAAAAGCATGATTCAGGATGAGAGAAACACTAATTAGCTATGCTAGAACGTTGCTGAAGTTTGAAAAATCACATGAATAAAAGTAACTTTTTTATATCCTAGCCTTATAATCTAGAAGACCCAAGCCATTCTGTAAGACAGCTATGGACAAACTTATTTACACATATTACACATGCTGACTAATAGACATAAGAAACTGATTGTGAATGTCATTGATGTTGCTAGACATACTAGAAACCAAAAGATCAACTCTATAGCTTCCACTCTCCCTTGATTCAACAATTGTGACTTTCATTTGCACTCTTCAGTCTCTACAGATTGAAAGAGCCTTCATAAAACTGAATAGCCATTTTTCTAAGTACATTTTACCTTTAAATTAGAAGTTACTCTGCCTTCTTGGAGAATTCAATAAGCCTAACATTCTCAAGTGGCATGAGGAATATCTGAAAGTTGGCATTAAAGAGCCCTAAATCTCTATGTGTGGTCCAAGAAGAACCTATTTGCAGCCACATACATGCATAGGGGAGGCTGGTCCTGTCATTACATCAGTTAGATATGTAGGGAAGGTTCTAAAAATGACATACAATCAGAGAAACTAGGATTATACTCTTTGTTCTCATGGAATAACTTCCAGGATTTGGGTGAGCTCCAAGAAATGAAGTGACCCAAATCAGTTTCCATTTCCCATGGGACTAAAATAGATTCCATATGCAGAAAATAGTTGAGAGCTTTACTCTGACTCAATGCCATATTGTACCTAGGGTACTTGGAGCTAGTGCTGAGGAAAAGCTCATTAATTTAAGTCCAAAATGTAGGGGCAATTCCATTAGCTTATATTAGGATATTCTTGGTAGTTCTTTCTGAAAATATTTGAATGGAGAACTAGAGGAAGTGATGGATTCATAATAATGACTAGGAATAGGGCCATGATGATGGCTGTGGAAGGAATGTTTAAGCTGAAAACCCATAAGTCCAAAGAAAACCAGTCCTTAGCATGCCAAGTATTAGGAGAAATAAATCAAAGATACTAAAAGGGTTGAGCATATCGATAAAATGGAATAGTAGATTAGATCAAAGATGTATGGTAGGTGGTGGTTGTCAGATGGGAGTAGAGTAGATTATAAACTATTATATATCACAATTAATGCATTTGACTTTTTACTATAAATAAGCCCACCAACAGAATGGCTGGATTTACTAATATTTATAAAGGTCTAATCTGGCTGCTATGCTGAGAAATGACTAGAGTAGGGGAATTGCAAAAGGAAGGAGAACACATGGCTACAGTTCAAGTAAAGGTTCTGAGTGATGAAATTTAGAATGATTTTTAGAGACAGAAAGTGCTAATGAATTATATACAGGGTTATTAAAAAAGGTAAAGCCAGAGATTATTATGTTATTTTTGATCTCATAAGTTGTTAAGTACATTAATTGAAAAAATGTGTTAAACAATGCTTGTCAAGTTCTCAGTGAAGATTAACAATTATTCTATTATTGGACAAGTTATGGGAGGTGGAAGAGTTGCTTAGAGACATTTTCAAAATAATATGACAATAACTTAAGGACTCTGAAGATTTTTTTTTTACAACTTTTCTTTCAGGTTTCTTCCAGACACCATCATGGAGTACTAGGATTCACTTTGTCTGTAAAATTTGTATAGTAAACCCTAACTCAAAAGACGATTGTTAGTGACAAAATAACACAAATTACAAGATTGTTTTAATTTAAACCTGAAATGTCTCCCAAGGGCCCATTTGTCCACGGCTTGGACAATAGCCCATGGTTCTACTAGAAAATGTTAGAGCTTGTAAGAGGTGAGGTCTAGTGGGAGATATGTTGGTAAGCGCAGCTCTATCTTTGAAGAAGACAGTGAGACCCATATCCTTCCCTCGCAAGGTTTCTCATTTGAATTCTGGCCATTATATAATAGCTTTGGGCCACTGGCATCATAAGCTAAATTACCACAGACCAATAGAAACAACAGGGGCAACCAACCATGGACTGAAAGCTCCAATACTATGAGCCCCAGCAAGCCTGTCTTTTTCACAAGTTGATCATTGATGTTATAGAACCTGACTAATAGAGATGAGCGGCTAATGTTGCTTTTGTCTACTATCTAAACCTATGTGATTAAATGCATTGTCTGAGACTATATGCAACTATATCAAATGGGAATGCTGCTAGGAAACCCGTCTCAGCCTCACATCAGTGATACTAATTTTGAATCTGTGTGCTGTCAGAAACCCTATGGGACTGTATGTATACATTGGCATGTGAGAAGCACCACTTTAGAATTTCCAGACTGCCAAGGCTAAGAGCCTGTTAAAAATTTCAAATACAGAAAGCAAGACTGAGAGACATTACGTGAGTTTACACATGAAGTTGGCTTGGTCAAGTGTCCTAATTCTCAAACCAGTATTCTTTTTCACTACAATGGAGTCTCAAAACTCAGCTAGTTCAGACATTCTCATTTGTAGAAGATGGAGGAAAATCAGAGAGCGCCTCTTTTTTGAAAAAGTTGCCTCTGGGAGAAGAGGCAGATTATATTATTTCTCTATTAGTTATCCCGCCTTCCTACCCAGGACAAAATTAACTATGTAGGTTAGAAATTTTCATTTTATTTTCAGAGATGAGTCAGATGGCCCCAAGGTCTGTGTATGTATATATGTATGTATGTATATATGTATGTATGTATGTATGTATGTATGTATGAATATGTGTGTGTGTGTATCTATTTATATTCAAAATACACTTGTATATAACTAAATTCTAGTCATTATTCTAATCCAATTCTGCTCTTTTCCTCCAAAGGATTTCAGCCTTTGAGACTTAATTCTGACTTCCTGATTATGCACTGCTCAGACCAGATGAGGTTTCAAAGCACATTATTTGGCTCTCTCCTCTACACTTTGACTGAAGCTTCCATTTCTTCCGATCTATATAATTCTAGGACATCCCCCACTTTTGTCTGTAAAATCAGACTGTGAGAAAGTGTCATTGTTGGAAGAGTATGTATATGTATGTATGTATATGTATACACATATATATACATATATATATATATATGTATATATATATACATATACATATATATGTATATGTATATATGTGTGTGTGTGTGTGTGTGTGTGTGTGTGTGTACCATATAGGTATATGTAGTGAGAGACTCAGGGACCTAACAGAGGTGAAAGGATGGCTTAAATTCAGAGTGAAGTACAGGATCCAGTTTTTCTTCATTTTTAGTAGTCTTTCTCAAGCTTCATATTTTCTGTTAAAAATCTTAATCTTCTGAAGGTATTAATATAAAAATGCAAAGCCAGAGCCAGGAAGTGGCTTCTTCTCTTCTATCTGAGAACTCTTACCTTTTCAACGTTTGGTTTTCTCTGGAACTCCAAGCCTGCTAAATCATGCACAGAACTCTAAAAACTGAGCTGCATTTTTGCTAGCTGCCTCCTCCCTTCCTCTCCACAGATTAGGCTTGATCTAACTCTGGCCTTTCCCTCCCTAGGCCCAGCTTCAGTTCCTGGAGCTTTAGTAACTCTTGCCAGACTTGTGACTTGGCCATTGTTTACCCGCCAGACTCACACTGTCCTTTCAGGGGCGGGGTTTATTTGCATAACCACTCCCAAGCATATAAAGTGGCCCAATAGCTGTCCTGCATTCCTTACAGGGGAGAGGAGGGGGATAGATATAACATGAAAGAAATAGAGGATGGATTTGATCTGTTGTTGCCACACGTGGAAGTGAAATGACTCCAGCAGAACACTGGTTGCAACGGATTCCACCTATTGTGAGAGCGGTATGCCGTCTGGGGGCTGTGGGGTGGCTGTTGGGCAGGGTGTCTGTTCTGTACTCGAATGCGTTTGTTCAGGGAACCCCACTGTAAGATACAGCCTTTGATCTTGACAGAGTAAGTGTGGAAACATCCATCGTGTGGTAAATCACTTGGAACCTGTGGCACCTAGGGATGGAAATAGAGGAACAGAGGACTATATCAGATGTCCCTGTAAGAGTGCTACAAAGTCAGCAAGACTTAGGGGAAGGAGGGATTCTGTGGCTATCAGTCATTCTATCCGTTTGTGCCCTGACAGCACTCTCCGAGATGTCAGAAACTTAGGCTGTTATCCCTACAACTTTGAGTAGTCAGTTCCTGCCTATACAGGTTCGAACTGGGACCAGATGGCGGCTGGGAATATGCCCGGACTTGTCCAACAACCCTGTGCATCTGGGATCCAGAGATAAGGAAGAGAAGGAGCCTGGGAGTTAGCTCTTGGAGAGGAGGAGGGAACGGATTGGACATGCAGAGCATCCTGTGGAAAGCTGAACTACTAGCCCACCCACGTGGTGCCTGGACAAGTCCGGGCCTGTGTAAAAAGCAATTTGGCACTGTCTATGGGGGCTTTCAATCCCGCCTCGTCACCAGTGAGACTGAGTTTCATTTGATCACTTGCTGCTAGAAGCCGAGCCCAGGACAGTGATATTTTGATCCGGCCTCACCCCAAACACTGGCCAAGGCCCAGACAGCTGCAAGAACTGGCAGGGTGAAAGGAGAAGGGACTTGCCAGAGACTAGTCTGGGAAAACAGGCTGTAAGATCTCATTCTGACAGGTTTTGGCAGCGCTGCCAATTTCACGTAGGGCAATAAGAGGTAGTAAATTGTGGAACTCTCTGTCCAGGTAACGTTTCTGGCCCCCTTGACCCACCATACCTTTCATCCAACATAAGATGCGTACTGAATATTTGCCCTCTGTCACCAAGTTTGAAGTATTAAGCCATATAGAGGCTGTTCTCCCTGGGGCCTTAACAGACTTGTCCTGAGTGTAGGAAGTCAACCAATCCTACACAAGATAAGCTTTAAACATGAAAGCAAAATGCTCTGAAGTTGTCAAGTAAGGACCATATCAACTAGAGCTAAAGACAGAAAGGGTTTTTTGTTTGTTTGTTTGTTTGTTTGGCTGGTTGGTTGGTTGGTTTTGTTTGTTTGCTTGTATGTGTTTTGATAGCTTTTGAGAGTTTGATTTTTCACCTGAGGTACTGAGGGAGACTTGTCTGAGGTTTCTTTGGGACCTGATACATGTATATAAGGCTAGACTGAATGATACTTAGCTGAGGAGGCATTTAATTTCTGATCTCCCTGCTTCTAACTCCTAAATACTGTAAGTGTTCTGTGTTCATTCTGCCCAGCTGACTGTGGTTTCATCCCAACACCTTTGCTTGCTAGGCAGCAAAAGTATGTGTATTCAGATTTCATTCCACCATATAGTGACTGTGTGACCTTGGAGAAAAAGAATATTTCTCCCTCTCTGAGCTTCATCTTACTACAGGCAACAGTTGAGTTAATAATAGTACCAACATCATCGAGTTATTGTGAGGATGAACTGAAATAATCCATGTAAAATACTTGCACACGCTTAGCACAGGGCAAAATAAGCACTCAATAAACGTTAGCCGTTATTATTTAAGATAGATTATGTAGCACAGATAGGATTTCAACAGGTGGAAAAAGGAGAGAAGGCATTTTAAGTAGAGAAACCATGAGTAACAGCCTGACAGCAAGGAACTCAGAGTACAGAGCATGAGAAAGGAACAATAGTTGAGTTGATGTTTTAGTACAAGTAGGGAAAAGTACAAGTTAGATTGATGGGAAACTATACAAGACTGGATGCTTGAGGTTCTGTTAGATGTTTGTAGAACCACTGTGAGTTTCTTTTTACCTTATTTATTTATTTATTTATTTATTTATTTATTTATTCACTCACTTTACATTCCCAATTTCTGCTGAATTGAAGACAAAGTCAGATCTATAATTCAGGTAACTGGGAATAAACTAGGCTTGAACAGGAAAACACAAAAGTAGAAGAATGAAAAGTACCCGAAGCCCTAGTGACACAGTGGCTATGAGATCAGAAAGGAGGCAAGGTAATGTATTGATCAAATCATACAAACTTGGACTGTTCAGAAATTTGAAGTTGATGAATTGCATGGGGTTTAAAAAGAGAAGGGTGGAAAGTCTCTCTTAGGGCTAGCTTATACTTTGAGAGAGTACATATTTTCATGCCATGTCTCTGGGTGGAGTCAGAGACAGATGTTTTAAAATCCTGGGTCAATTACCTGCTGTTTGGAATCCTAAGTGCACTGTGTGCCCAAAGTTTTCTTGCTGCATTAGTATTTACTGGTTGTATATAACAAAGAGATGTTTCTTCTGTCCACCTATGGAATCATGAGTAAGCCTGGTGAGAAAATTAAAATTTCCCTGAGTTTCTGTTTTCCTGAAAAATGGGAAATAGTTCCCACTTATTGAAAGGATTAAAAATGATAATCCCTGTAAAAGACCTAGCCCAATGCTTGATGAATAGCAGGCTTTTGTGACTCATATGTTTCTTTTTACAACAATTGACTTCACCTTTAAACATTCATCTCATCTCATCTCTGACTGAACATTTCTAGAGGAAAAGTCTCCATTGTTCTCTAAAAGAACCCATCAACTGTGTGTGGGGAAATGCTGGACTGTTGAAAGTTCTTTCCTTTGTTCAGCTGCATTTATTATGCCTCTGACTTGTACTCAGATGTTCTAGTAGTGTTTGCTGGGAATACTTACAGCAACCTGTTTCTCTTCTCTGAAAGTTCAGAGATCTGAAGATAAGAGACCAAATTTCCCTCATATTCTGTTCCCTGGTAAAGCAGCTGAGTTTCTTCCATTTCTCATCTGGCTTGATATTAAATAAATGTGAGTCTGAGGTTTTGAATTATACAAAAGTAGAGTGGCAACTCCTTCAGAGAGATGGCAATAACTGCAAAAAATCATGATGGGGGGATGTGACAAGTTTATTTTTAATGTATTATTTCCTCCAATTCTTTAATTGCATCATTTCTTCATAGACAGTGCTCAAAGAAAATGAAACCTGTTTTAGATTGTTTGGTCTATATGTGTCTGAGTCATAACTACAAGCTACATTTTTCTTCTAATTCACTTTTTTTCTTCATTTCCTACAGCGGTTTGTATATAAAAATGAAGGCTAGGTAGGTAAATTCTAACGCTAGAGAGGATGATAATTGTTCAATTGCCCTGTCCCAGTTATTTTGTCTTTGAAATCTTTCAGTAAAAGAAACCAGGGAGAAAAAGTCCCTAGACCCAAGAGAAAAACAAATAATAACTCCGTGTAGAAACCTCAGGGAGGCCATACAACCTTTCTTTACTTAGAAGGCCGCCTGATCTATTCCCTGCAGTGAAGTCCTAATTCAGGGCTGAAGCTTGCGAAGCAGAAGCTAGTTTTTCTCTGCTTCCTTCAGGAGACTGGCTCCACCTGTATGGTCTCCCCTAAGATGCTTAATGGGGAGAGTACTGGCCAGTTTTATCATCGCTCTTTATTCTAGAAGGATCATTATTAGATAAATACGAGAGATACAAGGATTGCTCTTGTCTGCCTTAGATTAGAATTAACTACATATTTTTCAGTGTTTTTCTTGACCTGTTCTCTTACAGATGATAATAAGCCTTCTTTATTCCAGTGTGGCTTTCCCTCTTCTGACTAAGTCCTATCAGAATGCCTAGCTTCGAAAACAATTATCAATTGAGTGGTTAGTGACTAGCCATCCACCCCTGTAGGATCTAAAGCAAGTATCCCTAAGAGACACCAACCCACGCTGAAAAAGTGAAGTGGTTTCTATGTAACATATGATGGAATCAAACAGTAAAATGTCATTATTTCCAAGAGGTTGTTAGTCACTATTGTGACTAAGCCAGAAAGAGTGGGCAGTACTGCTTCCTTTTCATGAACTACCTTTCCCTGAACCAGTCTACACTTTGGAGTTTTTCTGGTTGAGAGATTACAGAGCCAATATTCTGTTGTGAGAGTAAGAAGACAAGAGAAACTGGATCCTTGGTAATATAGTGATTGGACAATCAGCCTGAAGGCAGCCTGCTTCTTTGTGTATGGGAAATAGACAATGCATTATGTAACTTGAAAGAATTTGTTTTGTTTTGTTTGTTCTTATAGTTCCAGTTTTCTGACTTGGATCCTAAGGGTTGAGATTATCTTGATATACCCTTGTAGAATTTCATGCCTATATAGTCAAATTAGTTTTAACTTGTATTTTATCCAGTTGTGAAAAAAGGAGGAAAAAAAACATAATGAAAGCATATTGTGAATACTGAGTCGCCTGTTATTAAAGAGGTCAAATAGAGATAGATGGTAAGTTTCTTCTAAAAAATAAAAAGATGAGGCTATTATGACCTTTTTTGTAGGATTTTTTAAAATCTGAAGCCTGGCGGTGGTGGCACACGCCTTTAATCCCAACACTTGGGAGGCAGAGGCAGGTGGATTTCTGAGTTCGAGGCCAGCCTGGTCTACAGAGTGAGTTCCAGGACAGCCAGGACTATACAGAAAAACCCTGTCTCGAAAAACCAAAAAAAAAAAAAATCTGAAAGTTATTTCACAGAGCATAATTACATATGTAATCATAGATTTATTTTTACTGGATTTTTTTTTATAATGCCAACTCTTTCAAGTCCTAGACTTTGCCTTTCTTCATGGACATTTTTCACATTTTCTTTTCTGCAAGGTTTTTAGTCAGCATACAAAACATTGAGTTTCCCTGTGACATTTTTATAAGTACATATCAATCTTTCTTATTTATATTCACCTTCAATCACCCTTCTCTGTTTCTTGGGCATGGCTTTAAAAGGGGAGTGGAACTACTTTAGCAATGGACTATCATTTTCTCCAAATAAGCCTCCATCTCTGCACTGATTTTTCCCAGTCTTATTGTATGGTTTTACCTTGGGTTGTGTTACAAGTGCCTACTGGCTTGCCCCACTGTTTCTGTAGGATATTTTATTCCCTGGCTTTGTGAGGAAGAGATGGCGTATTTGATTGTTGTTGGATCAAAAAGACTGACAAGTTCAAGGTGGCCCAGTTCTTCTAGATTGCTTGGTAATCTGAACAGAGTAAAAATAATTTGATGCAAGACCAAACAATGGTAAGTGAAATCAGAAATTAGAACACACTCCCTGAGTCATCCACATAAAGAAATCATATCATAATTTTGATTGTTTTCTAGGACACGCCGCCAAATTTCCTTGCTTAGCTAATGAGTCTCTACTTCGAGCACTCTGTGGGTAGATAACTAATTATTACTCATGGCACAATTTCATGCTGTCTTATGGTAGGTAGTCAATACACAAACCAGTGACTCATTTAGAGTTCAGTAACAATAGAGCAAATCAGAGGCTTTAAATATTGGCTCAGTATTGACGTAGTCTGTGGCTTTTCTCCACTACCCTTTGCTTCTCTGCTTGGGATGGGATACTAACAACAGTCATAGAAACTCTTCACATGTGAAGCACAATCTGGAGTTTCCAGGGCACTTTCACACACATTGTCTCATTTTTTCCTTGAACATAGTCCAAAGTAGTTTTCTGTACCTTTCCTTTTACTTGGGATGATTGTTTCAGCAGAAATCAAAAGAGTATATCAGCCTGGTCTTAATTTCATTAATGCTTTCATTAATCATACATCTATATGATTTTGTAGATTTTGACATTTTTTTTCTGGTCAATTTACAGTTTTCTAAGCTGTGTTTACCTTTTTGAAAAACATTGTGTCCTTTGTGTGGTAGCTGTGTGTGCAGGCACACATTCTGAAATTGAACTCATATTATTACTGTTTGCCTTTGGATAAGTAGATGTGGCCCCGTTCAAGTATTAATTCTACCTCTACAGTGACAACTGCCTAGAAAAAGAACTATATATTTCTGCCTACCTCAGATGGGACATCACCTTTTGCTGTGTGCACTGGAATAAAAGACAAAGTAAACAGGTGAGTCTTTAATTATATACAACTCCTTTTTATTTTTCCTGAAGTTGATATCATTAATGGATGAAATTCTATCCCCACTAAGAAAATAGAAAAAGAAGCCAATGAAAAACTACAATAGGCAGCCATGTTCACTCAATTATTTTTATCCCAAGTGTATATTTTAACAAATGTAGGCATACAAGGACAAATTACTTTCTAAATATGTGTTCCAAGGATCAAACCAGTTTATCAGGCTTTCCTGAGAAATCCACTGCTCTACTTACTAAGCTATTTTGCTGAATGAAATTTTATTTTTACACAAACCAAACACAAAACAACATATTTTAACCCTTTTGCCCATGGGTTTATCAAAACATTATTACTATAACAATATTATCACTATTATTCTATGGAAGTTCTTTTTACCATTTGCTCAAACAATGAATGCTTATTTAGTGCCTACTCTGTAACAGGCACTGTTTTAAGTATTTTGGATGGAGTAGTAAATATAAAAGGTATAATGATCTCATGGTGATTCCACTTTAGTTGGAGAAAAAATAGAACAAATGTTAATAAGAAAGCCATAATGTATAAGAAGGTCATAAGTACTATGGAGAATAATGAAATGAGAAGGGATAGAATGATTAGGGAAATTCCAATTTAAAATAGTAGCCAGAGAAGCCTAATTAAGAAGATAGTATAATAATAAAGAACTGCAGAAGTAGAGAAGTAATCAAATGTATGTATTCAGGAGAAGATTCCAGGCTTGAGAAGGTATGGTGACCTTCTACTGAAAAGATCCCTGCTTAATTTGAAGAATAGCAATGAGACCACTATGGCTGCAGTGAATAGAGTAAGGGGAAGAACAGTAGAACCTATGGCTAGAGATAACACAGGAAGATTAGGTAGCCAGATTATGTAAAATACCACCAGCCATTAAAAGGACTTCAGATTTCTTGTGAGTAAAAGGAAAAGCCAATGAAAGTGTTGAAAATAATGTAATCTAATGTTTTAAAGGATCCATTGAAAGTGTTGAAAATAATGTAATTTAATGTTTTAAAGGGTCCATTCTCCTATTTTCTGCTTATTCATCTCTCATTCTCCTACAAAAAAGAAAATATAGGTAGATTACCTCTGACTATGGAACAGTAAGAATTCTCTTTTATTGACTGTGACTTATATTCAAGCAACACAGAAAGCTAAAGAAATCCTTGCATCCACACTGTTATTTAGAATAGTTGTACTTGAGAATCAATGGATAAACTGTATAAGTTCCAGAAGCTCAGACCAGACTTTGACTAATTATATCAGAAACTCAATAGTGGTACCCAGGTATCAATATATTTTGGAGCTTCCAAAATATAACTAAGAATAAAGACCACTGGTCTGAAGCATTTAACCTAATCAATCTTCTCACGATGACTATGTGGCTTGAGTCAGCAATGAGTATGACTATTGCTTTTGGCAGACTGTACCTGGGACCATTCACTATAAGTAAAATAAGAAATAGAAATTCACAAAGAGTGAGCTAGAAAGATAATATGATGCTTGATCATATGGGAATAGGAAAAGGACAAGAGAAAGCTGTGCTAGAAATGGATCTGGGCCAGACCAGAAAAGAGAAAACTGAGAGGCAGTATCTAACCGTTTGGAGCAACATCTGAACTACAGGCCAAACATCAGGAATTGATGAGAACACTATACAGATTAGAAAGCTGGATTTTCCAAGGAAAGAATTATTCTCAAGGCCAAGCTGAACAACTGCTTTGATTTGTGACAACCCTGTGCCCATGGGTGGTGATTGGACTTGCAGGAGAGGAATGGGTAGGGCATGGGCCAGCTGCTATCTTCATCACCCTTTTTTAATCTCAGGACTTCTGTACTGCCCAGGCAAAGCAAATAGCCTAAAGTCCTGAGTTCTTAATTTAGACGTGTCATCCTACAAGTTCTACCCATCCTAGATAGAGAGACCATGCTTCATGCCACAGGCATTTCTGCAAATTGAGAAGACCAACAGCCACAAAGGGTGGCCAGAAGCAGCTGCACACCCAGCAGCGTGAGTGCCTTACATCCAGAAGAAACTTAGCCAACATCATTTATTCAGGGCACAGTGAGCTAATGTTGAGATTATTATTAATGCCTACGTCATTTCTTTTCTCTTTCCTGTCTGCTTGCATTCACTCTCTTCTAAGTTATTTTCTGAGGGAATCAAGACAATGGAAACAGGTTCAGAGATTATGTAGATGATAGAGATAGGACAAGTAAAGAAGCACTAGTCACTTTTGTAATTGTTGCTTCAGCTTTACTGGATAAATACGCATATGTACATATACTTAATAAAATAATAATGTAACAATATAACGTTAAGTACAAGGATGTGTTCATACACATTAATTACCAAGTTTGGCTTAAAAGTAGAATATAGTAAATCAATTGGATGATGACTATTTATAGCAGCCTTAAATTTTACTTTAATTTTGGGGCTAACTTTGGCAATATTCACTAGAAAAATATGAGATATTTCAAGTATTAAAAAGTGAAGGTCATTTTTCTCCAGAAAAACTGAAATGTAATTAATATAACATAAACTACCATTTCAAGTATGCAACTTCATACTTTTTAACATATTCACAAACTTCTACCATGTAATTCCAGGTCATTTTCATTGTGCATTGACTAGTCATTGTATCCTCCACTCAGCCTATGGCAAATAATAAATCTGCCTTTTGTCTCTGTGGATTGTCTATTTTAGACATTTCATGTAAATAAAATCACATTATTGCCCTTTCCTGTCTAGCTACTTCTCTTAATCATAATAAAGATTGATTATACAATATAGTATACATTATATATGTCATTCCTTTTTCTAGATAAATACTGTTTTCTTTTCAGACACACTAAGTTCTATTTATCAACTTTGTGAGTTTATGGACATTTGATCATTATTATTATTTTTTTACTTTCTGTTATGAATATGCTTCTAGGAACATTTATGTACAAGGTATTGTGTGAACATGTGTTTTCGCCTCTTGGCATATGTATTTAGGAATCTCTATTTAGAACTAATTGCTATATCATATGATAACTCATTGCTTCACTTTTTGAAGAACTGATTAATCATTTTCTATAAATGATTCACTATTTTAGACTCCCAACAACACTGTATGGCTAGAAGAGAGATGCTCCCTGAAGGGGTCTGAGTCTGTTGGGAGCAGTAGCCCCCACTATACTCAATCAGTGACAGAATGCACTATGGTTCCCCTTTACTCATATTTTACCTGCATGACTAAACAGTGACGAATGCTTGTTGGTCTGTGATTGTAAGAGATGTGCACTCTTTTTCCAGAAAACAAGCATATCCAAAGTTGACAGAAATTTCTCATATTCTAGATGTGATTGTTCAACAGACTACCAGGGTCTCAGTTCCTTAGCTTCTTGTTCCATGTTGGCCCAAGTCCAGTTGTACTTTCCAACTCCAGACGTTCCAGATCACTTCAGATCTAAGAGGAGGTTCTTTCTTAGTCTCATAATCATGCTTTGAGACCATAACAATAGTTTTGAATTTTTAAGTACTAAATTTCAGCATAACTTGTCTTCCTACCATAATCTAAGATCACAAAAACTTATATCTATAATGTTTGATCAGAACAATTTTAAATTACACATTTTAACATCTCTTATAAGAAATCATATAAACTAGAAACAAAAATGTGATGTCCTATATTTGGAGTTATGTGACATTAAATGCCAGTGAAAACAAAAATGCCAGAAACTAGAATGGCAATTACCTATGGGAAGGGGTCATAGTTGCTGAGAAAGGGATACAGGGGAACCTGAGTAGGCAATGTAAAGGCTCCACATCTTTACCTGGAGACTATTTTCTGTCACAAACCATAGATTTTTGTCTACTGCGTCTGGGCTTTGTGCAATGTTGATCTGTTTTTTTTTTTGTCCATACTTTTCTTCCTTTGTTGTTGCTCAAGGCATAAGCAGAATTTCTGAGTATGGCCAGTACAGTACAGTTGAAAGGATTGTGAACTTTGACAGAAGCAGAAAGAACCCCACCCAGCCTGTCATGCTCCAGGAGAGGAGACCAGAGATGCTTGACAAGTTCTTTCACCTCCCATCTCTCCACTAATGTAATGATATAAAAAGAACACAGTCCCATGTCAGGGATCAGCCAGAGCATTGGCTTGTGACAATGGGAGGGATTAATCTGTGGGAAATGATCTGATGCTCAGTAATGTCCCTAATATTATCCCCAATTAATTTATATGTTTTTTTCTTTCCACTTCCATTTTAGAAATAATTTTTCCTGCAAAGTTTCTAAGCCTTGTCTACTTAATTCTTCTTATGTAGAAATATCATGACGAGACATATTCAACAAACACCAAACTAATGGTCAGTTGAGCCAAGGTGATGTAGACACTACACACATTGGAGGAAACCTGTTTGTTAGCCTTAGGTTATTGGGAAGAGCAGTTGCTGAGGAAGTGTGAGCTCTGAAGACATCTGTTTCTTGGCATGATGTCCATGTTCCTGATGTAGTGGGCCACTGAAGTATTTTATGTGCTTTTCCTGTTCCTTTCCTGCAAATCCTGGGAATGACAAATGTGAATTCTCTTGAATTATTCACACTTCTGAAAAGCCTCTTGTAAATCAGGGACAAATCTACTAATTACCATGTAGTAACACTTGCAGGAAGCTCTTGTATTAGATACTTTAACATTATACTGTTATATCCATCTCTTTGTAAATTACTGGGGAAAGTACCTATTGTTAAAATACTAAATTTATGGGTAAAATGAATGATGTGAAAAAGAAAACAATTTTAAAAGCTAGTGAATGGCATAGTTGTGATTCAGACCCAAGTATCATTGACATGGGGTTATAATGCATTGCCTGGAAAGTCACTATTAGAAAGTAAAATAATCTATGTTTCCTAGCTGGTCATATACATAGGCAAGAAAAGTAAGCATGTTCACAAACTAACAAACAGCAAGCACTGTTGGATTGCCATTTCTGTACTAACTTGGTATAGGGCATTAACTGTTCTTCACTATAAAATTCATATGTTTGATTGTAAATTGCTTACTTTTCCAAAAGTACATCTTCTATAACACTGTAGAAAGACAAAGTCAGGGATAGATATGTATTCTCAATACATAATTATTCTTTCTTTACTTTTACACATAAATTAACATTTGCTGTAGGGCACTGCTATTCACAAGGTATAAGGCCTCATATTATCCATGAGTGATGACATTTATTGCTTATTAGGCAGTTTTATCTATATACCCAGGATTCTTCAGAACAGTCCAGAGTACATGTTTTCTTTATTCTTTAATAAAAGCAGTTTCTTAAACTCCAATTAAAAGTCAATTTAATTTATGTTTTGAATAACCATTTTGATTAAAAGGAGGGACAAAGAAACTCTGTTATTTACTATGTCCTGGTATGTGTATTTGGTAGGAAGCCAACCCAGAGAACAATTTCAAATCAAGGTTAAAAAGGGAAATTAAGCTTCATGTAATTTAATAGCTATTGGGTGAATTGGAGTTTGGAAACCAAACTGCAAATAGGGTCTGGCATATGCTTCATAGACAGCACCTTCCACAAAAGTCCAGGTGCTTATGTTAAGAATTTATCTCTAAAGGAGGTCTGCTTTGTGAACCCTCTCAATGTTTTTCTGTTTCCTGGGAAAGAAAAATATACAGGAAATTCTTTCCTTAGATAATCTATGCTGGATTTGTTGCCATAATACTGAATTCCCTTATCCATGAAGGTTATGAGACTAGTAATTTTTTTCCCCTCAATGACAAGGATAGAGAGAAAAAAGGGGAAGCTTGTCTTCTGAGGGTGACAATTTGACAACAGAAGAGAAAGTGCATTCATTTTGTTCAAAAAGTAGACTTCATAGGCCACCTTCTATTGAGTGAATAAATGAGGAAAAGTTATGGGAAAAGTTATACCTCAGCAAAAATGGCAGCCAGGACATCTTACCCTATTTTTATTGATGACCTTGGAGGAGGAGATTGGGGTCACATCATCCTCTCTTATAATTAGAAACATACATTAAGAACTTTCAGTAGGTTGAGAACCCACTTGAATCTTGTATAAGATTAGGGGTGGCAAAAATGTCCTACCAGAGTTTTATTTTCAAATTTTTCATTCACAAATGAGGATTATATTTTTTAATATTTATTTATTTATTTATTTATTTATTTATTTATTTATTTATTTTAAACTCAGATTGTATTCCCCTCCCAGTTCACCCTCCGACTGTTCCACATCCCATACCTCCTCCCCTACCCCCTGTCTCCACCAGGATGTTCTCAACCCCCACCCCAATCCAACCAGACCTCTAAACTCCCTGGGGCCTCCAGTTTCCTGAGGGTTAGGTGCATCTTCTATGACTGAACCTAGACCCAGCAGTCCTCTGCTGTATATGTGTTGGGGGGCTTGCTGCCTGGTTGGTGGTCCAGTGTTTGAGAGATCTCAGGCGTCCAAGTTAATTGAGACTGCTGGTCCTCCTACAGGGTCACCCTCCTCCTCAGCTTCTTCTAGCTTTTCCCAAACTCAACCACAGGGGTCACCAGCTTCTGTCCATTAGTTGGGTGCAAGTATCTGCATCTGACTCTTTCAGCTGCTTGTTGAGTCTTTCGGAGGACAGCCATGATAGGTCCCTTTTTGTGAGCACTCTGTAGCTTCAGTAATAATGTCAGGTCTTGGGCCTCCTCTGGATTATATTGTCCATATTGCTTAAATCAGAAAACTATTGAAAATATTGACAAATAATGACGCGTTCACCCTCGTCCCGCAAGGAAGACGCGACACTAGCTCTTCTTCTGCAGTTTATTCAGGACCCTTTTAACAATCTTCTGACCCCGGGGGAGCCCCTGCCCACAGGCTAAATACTTCATGGGCGGCTGACCCCAGGAATGCCACATGGCAAATACCGATAGGCACACATATGCGGAAGCCAAGCCAAATAAGGCACAGAGAGTACCCGCCATCAGGCCAGGTGAAGGCGGAAACCAGCGCCATTTTTAAGGCGCGGCACCATGCGGCTCTCCACAAAATAAAATAAATGTAAAGGTAGTTTTTAAGAGCTTTTCACATATTTGATTGTAGCCAGTAAAAGGAAGCCAATGGTTTATCTAATTTATTTATTAATTTTTGCCAGTAAAAGCTCCTGATATAACTCCTTTGCCTTAATTACCTTACCTGTAAAGTGAAATTAATAATAATTTGTGACATCTTTTTGGAGAATTGAATGCATTGCCACATAGAACGCATTTAAAAGAGTTCTGAGCATATAGTCAGTACTCTAAAAGTTTTAGTTGCTTTAGGTTGGCTTCCTTGGACATTTTCACTAGAGGATAGAGTAAAGAAGACACATGTACTTTAAAGTCTTTCTTTAAGATCAGTAGTAATTATTTTTGTACCCACAGTTTTTTTTTTTTTTCATCATGGATTGTCAAGAAAATGAGTACCGGGACCAATGGGGGCGCTGTGTCACCTGCCAACAATGTGGCCCTGGACAGGAGTTGTCTAAGGTAAAATCTTTTGACCAGTACTTCTTATTTTTTTAAATCTCAGGAATCTTGAAGTGTGGGTGCCTTTGTGTGTGGGGGGGTGGGGTGGGGTGTGTGTGTGTTGTGATAGGAATAAAGAATGTTTAAAGAGAAAAAGATCTGAGAAAACCAATATTAGCAATACAGTCAATCACAGCTACGAGTAGTTCAGCAGATATAATGAGATGCAAATAGTATGCAATAATCGTCATTGTTCACAAGAAGTGAGGCAAGCAGACTTAGAGGCAGGGAAGAGTTTAAGATACTAGGGTACCTTATGAAGTGATATTTCAATACAGAGCTCTAAACTTATTGTGAAAAAGAAATCTGTTAAGCAAAGCAACATATACTTAATGGTAAGGACATAGGAAAAAAGAACTCTCCTACACTATGGTAAGAATGAAGCCCTGTTGAAAAATTGCATGGAAGTTCCTCAAGAAATTAAGAATAGGCATTTTCAGGGAAGTTGGCAGATTAGAGATCTTATGATACAACTCAGTGAAAGAAAACAAGATAGTACAGGATAATCTCTATTCTTGCAAGAGACAGTAGCTGTAAATGGACTTATTAAGCCAAGTGAGATCTCTGTGGGGAAGCAGACAAGAGTGGCTGTGAACTGGTGCCTAGCTGCACAAATTGGCTCTGGTGAGGTAATTGGAAACCACGGGGAGGCACTTTACAGCACACATACTCAGCAGCACTGCAGTAACAGTTAGCTCATAACCAAGGACTGGATAGCAATTGGAGATGAAGCCTTGGAACTAAAGCTTAGGTCTCACAGCAGGGCTCTGGTTGAGGTTAAGTGGGACTTGCAGGACAAAGCCTACACACCTCCTTTCCCTTCCCCATACAACAGCATGGTGGCACAGCCTGAGGAAAGACTTGCCACAAAACCTGGGTGGGCCCAGGGACTGAAATATGATAGTGCAATTGACACCCTCTTTATTCCAAGTTTGTAGCTATACTCTATGGAAACCCACAGCAAGGAATCCCACCCTGGCTTCTCCAGCACAGTGATGCCAAACCACACACAGTATCAAGAAGGGAATTGAGAACTTCACTGCTCATCTCACAGCAGCTGTGCCAAATACTCAATCCAAAGTGTTATTATCTAATCTCTATGGGACAATACATACACAAAATCAGGCTTTACAGCTTTCTACTGGAATAAGAAACAAATTGCATCTCCCCCATTAGTGCAATTTGCCAGAGGAAACTTTTGAAGGGAAAAGAAAGAATTCAAAACCCATTCCAAGATGAAAGAAATATTGACTGATATGATTTTTCTAAAATCCCAAGTATTTTTATTACACTTTTTCTCTTTTGCCACTGTCAATGTTTTTGATAATTTTTATGTTTTCTTTTCATTTTTAAATCTTAATTTTTGAATAAATACTCTGAAAGTGTCTTGTTTTACATTATACATTACTTAGTTTGCAAGAAAGTTTTGCATGATTTTTAACCCATTACACTATTCTTTACTCTGTAGTATTTTTTCCTACATACAGCCCATGTACTTTCTTACTAATTTCCACTCCCTTTTCTATTTTGTCTTCCCTGTCCTTCTTCTTTCTCTTATTAACTCTAGCCTTCCAAAACTTTAAAAATGGTTAAACTATTAGACACTAACAGTATCTCAGCTCTCTTCTTCCAATATTTTTCCTCATCTGAATTTTCTTCCAATTGATTTAACATTAATTCCTGTACTTACCACATTCCTTCTGCTTGTAATCTTGGTAATTCTCCACTATATATCATGTTGCAATGATTGTTGCTTCCTATTATTTTTGTTGTTAGAAGAGGAATTATGCTTATGTGGTTTTCTTCTTTTGGGTTTGTTGTGAGATTAGTTTCTTGCTTTTTCTTAGGTCTAGTTTTCCTCCTTGTGTTTGAGTTTTCCTTTTATGATTCACTGTAAGACTAGATTGGTGGAAAGATATTGTTTAAATTTGTTTTTTTTATGGAATATCTTGATTTCTCCCTCTATAGTAATTGAGAGTTTTGCTGGGTATAGTAGTCTGGGCTGGCATCTATGTTCTGTTAGGGTCTGTATGAAATCTGCCCAGGGTCTTATGGCTTTTATAGTCTCTGGTGAGAAATCTAGTGTAATTCTGATAGGTCTGCCTTTATATCTTACTTGACCTTTTTCTCTTGTGGCTTTCAATATTCTTTCTTTGTTCTGTGTATTTGGTGTTTTCATTATTATGTAAAGGGAGGAATTTCTTTTCTGGTCCAGTCTATTTGAAGTTCTGTAAGCTTCTTGTATGTTGATAGGCATCTCTTTCTTTAGGTTAGGGAAGTTTACTTTTATAATTTTGTTGAAGATATTTACTGGCTCTTTGAGAATCTTCACTCTCTTCTACACCTATTACCCTTAGTTTTGGTCTTTTCATTATGTCTTGGATTTCCTGGATATTTTGGACTAGAAGCTTTTTGCATTTTGTATTTTCTTTGACTGTTGTATCAATGTTTTCTATGGGATCTTCTACACATGAGATTCTCTCTTCTATCTCTTGAATTCTATTGGTGATGACTCCTGATCTCTTTCCTAGCTTTTTCTATTTCTCCCTTTGTGATTTCTTTATTGTTTCTATTTCCATCTTTAGATTCTGGATGATTTTGTTTAATTCCTTCACCTGTTTGGTTATGGTTTCCTGCATTTCTTTAAGGGATTTAATTATTTCCTCTTTAAGGGCTTCTACCTGTTTAGTTGTGTTCTCCTGTATTTCTTTAAGGGAGTCATTTATGTCCTTCTTAAATTCCTCTATCATCAACATTAGAAGTGATTTTAATTCTGAATTCTGCTTTTCTGGTGTGATGGAGTGTCCAGAGCTTGCTGTTGTGGGAGAACTGGGTTCTGATGATGCCAAGTCACCTTGGTTTCTGCTGGCTTATATTCTTGCACTTGCCTCTTGCTATCTGGATATCTCTGGTGTTGGCTGGTCTTGCTATCTCTGACTGTAACTTCTCCCTCCTGTGAGCCTGTGAGCATATGACTTTAGGTATGTCAACACTCCTGGGAGACCAGCTCTCTCCAGGGAGGATTTGGATATGGAGAGCTGTAGTTCAGGGTCAGCTCTGAGATGCAGATGGAAACCAGAATGATCCTGTCCCAGGCTCAAGCCTGTCTTTTCTAAGTTGCTCTTGGTCATAATATTTTACCACAGCAATAAAAACCTTTTTAAGACAGATGGAAAGACTGCTGATATGCACAAATGAGAAAACAATATTCTGAAAATGGCTATAGTACCCAAAAAGCCTATGTGGTCAATATAATTCCTTTCAAAATATCAATGCCACTCTTCACAGAAGTAGAAAAAAATAAATAAATTCATGTGGTAACACAAAAGACTCTGTACAGTGCCATCAATTCTGGGAAAAAGAACAATGAAAGATATATATTTACACATCATTTTAAATTGTAGTGTAGAGCCATAGTAATAAAAATAGCACTGGACTGGCAAAAAGGACACATGGATGGATCTGTGCATCAGAATATAGGACCCAGATATAAGCCCACACATCTACAACCAAGTATGATTTTTCATAATAATGCTTTAGAACCATGCTTTAAGAAAAGATAATCTCACCAAGAAATGTTTCTGGCCAAGGTAGATATCTACTTGTAGAATAATTAAACCAGATCTATGTCCACATAAAATCAAAGGATCACATCTGCATACCACGAAAGTTAAGAAGCAGAGACAAGGGAAAAGAGCTTGCTTTATATTAGGAAAAAAAACACTTCCTGAAAGTTTCCAAAAAGACCTTTCTTTGTATCTTATGATACAAAACTGGGTAATGGATTTCTGAATACCTAGAAGGGTAACTGTGGAATGTATGTTTGATACACAATAGTGATTCTGTCATGGTGTTCTAAACAAATTAAAGAAACCGTTCTTGATCCTGGTCATCATACTACCTTAAATGAAATGAGCAATTGATTATTCAGGGAGGCCAGTGATGTTTGGTTAAGTAGCTAACAGCATCCAAGACATTATTTCTGTTCAGTTACCTTTATTCAATTTTATATTTCACTCATGAATTACAAATATCACTGTAAATAAATTAATGCAGAAAATTAGCAGTACTTCCTTGGGATATTTTTCTAGAAGTATAATTTGTAAGCTAAATGCAACTTTAATATTCTTGAAATATATAAATAGATATCACATTTGAAATGTTTTACTAATTTCCATTACAATTGCATGTATTTTCAATATGCATAAAATTCCCATGTCCCAAAAGTCAAACCCCAAAATGAATAATGCATATTTCTATCATCTGTTACTTTTATGTTTTCTTCTATAATATTAGTTACTAATTTATGAAGCTTTGAGAATTTTTTTTACTTTTCAAATATTTGACAGGGAAATATACTAACCTTTCTCTTTCTTAGTACAATGTTTATTCTTCAACTTCTACTCAAGTACTTGAGTAGCAGACATTATAAAATAAAGTATTTTTAATCCTTTATATAATAAATAAATATATTAAAATCGGAAATGTTTTTTAAATTTTATTTATTTCATTTTTTGTATACACTTTTTAATACATTTTCTTTTATTATGTTTATATGATAATATGGTAATATATTCTTAGAGTTAAAATTCTATATTTTAAGCATAAATGATTCTTGATTATAATTTTCAGTTAATTGCTCTTGCATGTTATACAAACAACTTTTAAAAAGAAATAACTATACTTAATCCATGGTCAGCATCAAAATTTTGGTGTCAGAATCATGAAAGCATGATAAAATTAAGATAAATGTTTCCTGGTTATCAAACTGATTAGTAGCAAAACCATTTGGAAACTTGAATCATTTAAAAAACAAGACTCCTTTTGCCTCCTAACTATGAAAGATGATTTTCAACAAGAGTTTTAGATGATAATTTGCATGTTTTTAATTCTTAGGAAATGATTCATTCATCAGTGAAAGAAATGGCTACTGGGGGCAATTTGATAGTATCTGCTTTTGT